ACCCTCCTCGGAAATCGAATCCGCAGAAGCATTGTTATCGGGGAAAGAGACTAGCGCCTCATCATAAGTAAATGTGTGTTCTAAAAAAGACTAAGCGTTTTTTTTGTTGCACTGAAAGATGCACTGAAGAAGCTGTTTCACACCCCAGCCAAAGATAAAGGGACGAGTGAGGGACCACTCTCAGTAACCCCGGGGGTGTAAGGATGAGCGCTAGCCCGATTTGATCGCGGATTCGTAGAGCACGGATGATCGCGCGCGTTCATAGAGGACGGATGATCGCGCGGGATCGCGCCCTTTAAAAGGGGCGATCCCTCACTCGTGAGCACACTGTTCTCCATTTGAACTTTTTTGTTCCCCGCTCGCCGTTATCTTTGTTCTTTGATAGTTGTTTTTCTGAAGTGAAGTTTTTTATTGTTGCTGTGTTCGAGTAAAGCGTCTTACGATACTACAATTCTTTGAATTGGCGGTTCAAAGAATATTGAGGCAGAGTTCTTGTGTCAAATTCAAAAACTATTTTTATTATATATAGCTTCATATTTAGAGTGCGCTGGGAAGCCGGAGAGTATCACAGCGGGTAGTTATGGTAGTTTTCGGTGGTCAGTCACCGAACTGAGTGGGTGCACGAAAGAGAGAGGGATCCCTTTTCTTGCTAATGTTGATAAAATTGATTTCTTGGCGCTTGTGTACTTGTTGTACCTGGTATACACGTCGTTTTTTTTTTGTTTTCGTGCAATACCAATAATGTCCTTATTATTGTCTAAAGGATTTCGAAAGAAAAAATGGACCAGTCCAGTGCTTCACATGGATTATGTGAAAAGATGTTGCTATTTCCGGCAGTGAGTTGGTTGGGTTTCTTGTCCTTTTTATTCAACAGATGTGGCCTATGTTTTTAGCCACCCACGTGCCTCGGTTGCTCGACCTCTGCTGTGGAAGCAAATGGTCTGATGATTCAGCTCCGTGCCCGCATTCCGCACCAGGACATTGCGGTTGCTTTCTTGTTCTATCGAGATGTTTTGCCCAAAGCTGGTACTGGCGTATCTGTTGAGGGACTTCGGTTCCTGTGAAATAACACGCCTACCATCTCGGAAGGAGCGGAAAGTAATAGACAGCTTTGGGTCTATCTTGCGAGACGCCGAATACGACAACTTAATAATCGGCGTCGACGAGGAGGACTATGTGGAAGAGGATGAGGAAGACCTCCTATGGAGCCCAGAGGACGAGGAGTGCGACAAGCTGAAAGGCGCGGCAGAAGGCTCATTTGTTGCGATATCGCGATCTAGAAGGAGAAGGTCTATCATTTCGTGGAAGAATACCACATGTGCTCTTGAACCGTAAGATCCTCATTCCTTGATGCAAGCTCTAGAAACGGTTATCCTCATAATAAAAGTTTTCAAAAGGAACCAGAAATGGAGAATCGGCCGCCTTCCGTTGGCAAATAATCAAAGAACTAGGTAAAATAGCCAAGCAGAAGCTGTTTTGTTATGATAACTGCTGTTTAACGCCGCAGTACGCGTTCCGAATGTTATCACAAGAATGCTGAGTTGTGGGCAAAAGTCGTGCCCCAGGCGGGAGTCGCGGCCCTGGTGGCGTAACGGATAGCGCACTCGCCCGGAAAGCGTGAGGTGCGGGTTCGCCTCCCGCCTGGGGCACGACTTTTGCCCACAACTCAGCATTCTTGTGATAGCCAAACAGAATTTTTTTGGGAG